GATTTAAAGGATCGCGGAGAGCGTTGCATCGTTCCCCCACGTTTCGGCTTTTCTCCAGCCCATCGTCTTCCCCTTTCGACGCTCATACTCATTCTTTTTCATGCCTTCAATACTTACACTTTCTTCTGAAGCACGTTTGTCGAGCAATCACATTCGTTACGTGGCCTTTTCTTGAAAAGGCAATTTGTCTCTCAAGCTGCATAGACGATCGTATCTTCAATGTACGTTCCATATGGCGGCCATCGTAAATAAATCTTTTTGTACGAGGATTGGATAGTTGAGAAGTCAATGCATCGAGAATTCTATGAGAGGCAAGTTTAGAGAGATTATTATAATTTTTTGTATGATTATAAGTTTTGAAATATTCTTTATATTTCTTTATATTTTTGTTAAGTATTCTTATCAAATTTGACATAATTTAGTGTTAAAAATAAATCTATATAATGCTTACGTTATTTTTTTACAAATTTATTCATCTTTATAGTTCTTCTTTATTTAATACATACATCGTCGATACTACGTTGATATTATAAAATGTTGGTACTCAAATCGTCGATATAAATGAAAATATCGGTACCTCGATAAATTTAAACATCCCAACAGCCTTGAGTTTGGCAACGCCTGAAGCCTCTACACGCTAATTAGTCCGTAGTTTCACGCATGTTTGACTTTCTCGACTAACGTAACTTGTTGTCGGAAACGAGAGGTGTCTCCGTCGTGTATCGCTCTGGCGAAATCGCGGTGCAAATTACCGAGAGCAATTAAGATCGTTAATTACCGACGTCAAAGTGCGTGTCGCTCCTCTCTAGTACAATGGGAATTCATGAAGAAAGGCACGCGTTCTCATCAGATACGGGTGGCTATCGTAGTCCATCTTCTACGATAATTGACATGCGAGTCGACATTGAAGAAACAATATTACATTGATATGCACACACACTTACGTATGTACACTACTGCTCATAAGTATTCAAACGACTTGGAGAGTTGAAAAAAATAGAGGATTGCATTCAGGAAAAGTAATATTGATTGAAAACTATTTTACCGGATAAGCTTTTAGACTAGACTATAATATAACGATATAAAAAATATTGTTTATTAATGTACGCACTCCTTGCTTTGATAACTGTTTTACTAACTGTTTGCACTTGTGGATCTAATTTTATTGTTTTCATTGATATTTTGTTCCATGCCTCCTTATTTCTTCCATATATCCTTTTTGTTTTATTGGAAACATTTTTTTAATGAATGGAATAATGTCGATTTAAAAACAGTTGGCGATAGTTTGACGAACAATGATTTAAATTTAGTATACAATTGCAACCAATACACTACAAAAACAGTTAAAGGCTGTGACGATGCGCCCCGAAACCGCATTGCCCCGGCTACGAACCGCCGGATGCCGCCGATCAGTGGGAAGAGGTGTTAAGGTGTTATCTAAGCTAAAAATAGTCTATGATCAAAGTATAAAATACCTATAATATCGTTCGAATTATCAGAGGTGGTGTATATATGTATAATATATTATTTATTATTTTTAAATATTACTAGATGACTAATTAATAATTTTAATCTTTTATATTTCGTTGATTTGCGATATTGTTACTTGAAAAGGACCTGAAGTAAGGTCGAAACGTTGTAACGTTGAACTTAGTAAAATTTGCCAGTTCGGTTAACAATAAGCTCACTGTTTAAAATTTTTAATATTAAGTTGCTTTAAACATTAATTGAAGCAACCCTTATGCGGTTGTGTTTTCCTAAGCACTTTTTTCCTCAGCGCATTCTTGCATCGTTTCTTTCCTGGGAAATCGCGTGCTCGCAGTCAATTCAATACTTATCGGTGCACGTGTCACCTAGTCTACTTTCTTTGTATGTGCAATCGTTACTTGTTACTGCTTACTCACTGCAAATGACTTATACAGTCGCGCGAACTTTATCTCCCTCTTTTCGTGGAACAAATGCTTTTGTGCGATATTGGACTCCCCGATTTGTCATTTAATGACGCGCAACTGTTGGATCGAAGTTGCTATAGCCTACGAGACTGCAGCTACGCCGCGTCGGATAAACAAATCGATAATATTCATGGTTTCTTTCAAGCTTTTCCGAATACGCTAAGCAAGGAACAGTCATATTATTCGATTAATAGTTAAATTGTTTATTTAAATCAAATTAAGCAAAATTAAAATATCGTGAAGAAACAAGTAGATTATTTTTTCGCATTTTAAAACAGTCTTTTGCTGTTCTAAAAAGTAGCTTATCGCACAGTGACGGTGCTTGTTCAGGAATGGTAATCTAGTTTTCTGAATCTAACGGAGCGATACAGATGGTTTATTTATCAGAATTTGTTTAATATCGAGTTTGAAAATACGATCAATTGCTGTTATCACTGTTAAAATTCTCCTTCGTCCTCTTCTATCTTTTAAAATACACGGAGAGAATTTTCTTTTAAAATTCACCTTGAATTCATGTGATCGCGGGACAACATAGCATTTTGATGAACCTTACGAGAGTTTTTTTAAATTTTACCGTACATTTTACTAAAAAAATGCATACTAAATATAATTACTAGTAAAATGTATGGTAAAATTTCAAGAAACTCTCATAAAATTCTTTGAAATGCCGCGTTGTCCCAGGATTATCCAGGATTTTTCAGGATAAATGTTAAGAGGGAAAATTCTCTCCGTGCAGAGAAATCGAGAGGAAACTTAGTGCTAAAATTATTGGTATAAAATGTTATTATTACATACTTTTTAAATGTGTTCATTCTTACTGTTCTAATTGTAAGATGACCGAAAATTTAATTAGAACTTATATATTTCCCCTCTTTCCTACACGCCTTGCTTTATACATTTTAAATAGCACCTTAGGTCTTCTGATTAGATAGAGTTTGTAAATTTTAACAGAAATTACTGGTAACTTAATGCTGTCCGATATCGATTATCTAACGAATAAAAGATGGTATCTTACGCTTTCACAATTGTGCAGAACTGCAGATAATTGGGGAATAGAATTATTCATATTTAGACATTATAAAGATAGATGTCTGAAATGTCTCTTCATCTTCGCAATTCTCGCGATCGACTGCCGATATTAAATTTGTGGGTGTATCTTAAATTTATGTAACTGCCTAGAAAATACATTGAGAGAAATGAGGATAGTTGAAATGTTTCGTGGCTGAATTGTGCTCGCGCAAAATGTCTGAGATTTTTGCACGCAGATGTTTCTAATCTTCCCAGGGGCAGAACACTAAAACCGAGATTGACATCGAGTGAAATTGAGGGGCGGGGGGGGGGGAGAGCGGTAATCCGGGAACAAGGGGAAGAGTGGGGAAAATGGGTCTTCAGGAAATAAGAAAACTTTTTTCCCGATCGGCCGTTACCCTCTGCATTGCGATAAGAGACGAAAGAGAGATGATCGCCGTCTCTCTTTTTTTTCTTCGCCCGTTCACCATCCTTCGCTTTTTCAAACGCTCGCCGGCTGCGCGAAGTCATTTTCTTAAGAGGGGGCCGACGAGATGCGTCGAGGGGGCACGTTTCAAAGGCACCTGGTTTTCTCTCGCTCGATAAATCGTACATTCCTCCCGTTTCACCGCGATCTCGTTATTTTCGTCCTACTAGTTTTTTTTGTTTGTCGGATCCTGGGAGAACGCGAAACTGCCGTGCGATCGGCAAGAGGCATCCCTAATCACATGGAGATACGTTCCATAAACGAGACGTCATTTAAATGTATCTTTGACGTGGGTACACCCGGAAAAAGGACTTATTTAGGCTGAATAAATGAGATACGTTGAAATCGTGTTTCTCTGACTCTGCTAAATTTTTATTTACTAAAACATTTGCTAGATTTGACGAAATAGATATGAATTCTCTTAGATTCTAGTCTCAATCAAATAAAATTTTGGTTAGGGTGAAGAAATAATTCCTTTGGAATTGAATAAAAGTCTGGTAAGGTGATTTCAAAGAAACATTTTCCCTGGGTGTACGCTAGTTCGTACGTTCGCCGAATTGAAAAGCTTAATTATTGGGCTCGTACAATATTATTTATTTTTATCTTGTACGCAAACATTTAAGATATTTTCAGTACAACTGCTGGAAGTACAGTTTTCAACGCACGTTATTATGCCTGATTATTATCGTGCGCTCTCGGCAATAATTGTTCCGTATCGTTGCACTAATTGCACCTTTTCCTTCGATCGAAAGTAGATTACGTTGCGTGCAAGAGGTGCTCTCACCTTGAGTCCGAGAAGATAATCGTTACAATTATACATGGTGAATACTGTCTCCTGCGTATAATGTCTCGTTCCTCGCCATGAACAGTAGTTACATTACAGCAGATGAACATCTGCATATGAAAAGATAAGTTAAAAGTGAAAAGAATTTATAATTTTCAGTGGCGATATCAATTAGAGAAGTGGAAGGAGAAATAATGCAAAATTGCTGTCTGCAGTGAAATATTAATTTTACTTTCCATTGTACAAATTTAACCAGTTTTATCGTAATTAACAGAGAAGGAATTTGACGCTACACACATGAGATACACATAAATACATATTTTTAAGGGATGTGTGAAGAAAGAGATTTTTTGCTTAAATGTGTACAATTTGTAAATTTTGAAAAATTTGTCACTTGCGTTAGTGTCTCAAGTACGTTTCGTTAACGATGAAACTTGATGGCTTTACAGGTCTGGGAGAGGCTCAAAGAAGAAGCCACCTCCGTCACAATCGCCGGACAGCGCGGAAGAGGAGGAGGTGGGGGAGGGGGAGGAGGCGGAGGAGGAGGAGGAAGAGAAGGTGGAGGCGGTGGTGGAGGCGCGACGGAGTTCGTAGTGCGGAAATAGGTAGAGTAGGCATGTTGTCAGTCTTCCCGACAACGACGACGACGGGGACGATGAGGGTGGCGTCGCGGCCGCCGCGTCGACGATGTTGGTGTCGGCCGCCGCTGCTGCTGACTCTGGTCCTCGCGCTATCGCTATCGTTGCCGACGGCGCGCTCGCTGCCGGCCGACATAGTCCAGAAGTTCCACGATCCGGAGGTGGAGCGCATGAACCATCTGGTGGTGGACAAGAACACCGGCCGGGTGTACGTAGGCGCGGTTAATCGTCTCTATCAGCTGTCGCCGGACCTGCTGCTGGTCGTAAAGGAGGTCACCGGGCCGAAGGGCGACTCCACGGCGTGCTCGATGCTAGACTGCCCCCGCGAGGCGCAAAAGCGGCCGGTCGACAACGTGAACAAGGCCCTGGTGATCGATTACACCACCACGCGGCTCATCTCCTGCGGCAGCCTGTTCCAGGGCATGTGCACGGTGCGCAATCTGCACAACATATCGGACGTGGTGCAGGAGGTGAAGGAGGCGGTGGTGGCGAACAACGCCACCGCCTCGACGGTCGCGTTTATCGCGCCCGGTCCGCCGAATCCGCCGGTCTCCCAGGTCATGTATGTCGGCGTGACCTTCACCGGTAACTCGCCGTATCGCTCCGAGGTGCCGGCGGTGAGCTCGCGGTCCCTCGACAAGGACAAGATGTTGAACATCGCGGAAGCGGCGGTCACGACCGGTACGCGAATGTACGTTAATTCACTGTCGCGCGAACGTTACCCCATCAACTACATCTACGGCTTCAGCAGCGGAGGATTCAGTTATTTCCTCACCACGCAGATGAAGAACACGGAGACGCCGATCTATCTTTCGAAACTGGTCCGGGTGTGCCAGGACGACGAGCATTATTACTCGTACACGGAGATACCGATTAATTGCACCAGCGACGATCGTATTTACAATCTCGTGCAAGCCGCCTACGTCGGCAAGGCCGGCTCGGTGCTCGCCGGCGACCTGGGTATCACCGCTCAGGACGACGTGCTGTTCGCCGTGTTCGCCGAGAGCGACGGACCCAACAGTGACGTGCCGCGGCCACTCTCGGCTCTGTGCGTGTACTCGCTCAAGGCAATCCGCCGCAAGTTCATGAGCAATATACAGAGATGCTTCAGCGGCGAGGGACAGCGGGGCCTGGAGTTCATCTCGCCGAGCCACAAATGCATATCAACGGTGAGTCATTTTCAACAGCTTAATTTAACCGCTGCCTCTTCGCCGCCGTGTACGTAATCTCGGCGATGTCACTCGGCATCTCGTTATCCGCGGAAAAATACAGGATACTTTTCGACGAGTAACAGGAAGCAAGGCTTTCCACGGTCAAAACGCGATCACTTTTGCGCGAATTCGCTTTATGCTGCGCTTTATAAAAAATTATAAATCGTACGATTCGACTCACAATTCGCGTCACCCTCAGCGCGCGACGTGATAGATAAATTACATAATTTTTCAATAATATATGAATAATGTCACGTTCTCCGAAGAACGAATGATTTTGATCGCTGTAAAAAGAGCGGAAATCAACGAATGCAAAGCCTTCCGAGATTTATTATAATATTATGATAACAGAGATTCTCCGAGAGTCATGATAAGCGATTTTTAACATTCATGATTTTGAGTGTCTGCATTGACGTACAAAAAATTAGTGCATTCGCGCATTAAAACTACTCGACTATCGAACAATATTAAAGCCGCGTATAACTCATCAAATTGAAAAATATTGAATAAATTATAACATTTTTGTTATTTATATAGAAACGAACAAATCAACGGAATCCTTAAGTTTTTCCGACATTTATGTTTATATTGTTACAATTTATCGAGCTAATTAATTTGTTATTTGTTAAAATTATTTCTTCCGAAATTTGCTTCAACAGACTTTTGAATATAATAATTGTTTCTTGATTCTTAGAGTATCTTTTATTTACATTTATTATTTTTATAATTAATGCGAGAAGATAAGTTATGAATTATAATTTAATAATAACGACGTGTACGTGTTTTAATCCGGGCGCGCCAATTTTTTGTACGTCATTTTGGTCTCGAGATCGTTTCATACAATTTTAAATTTGCATGGAAATCCGCTGCGGAATAGCAGTTACACGTGTAATACTGAAACTTGTGAAATTGAGGACTTGCCACTTCAAAATATAAAATAAATATAAAATAAAAATATAAAGATTAATGTAATAAATAAATTATTATTATTATACATAGAGTTTGTAATAGACTCAAGTAAAATCATTACATTTGATTTTACTCACGATTACAAATTGACGCTAATTTTTCACGGTGAAGGACACATTTTCTTCGCGTCGTTTTTTAGCTCTTTTGAAAAGGTAACTTTGAACAATATAGTATACCACTGTCATTCAGACATTTTGTTTTGTCGCGTCCGAATTGCCTTTCCCAACGTGCCCTAGATATGAGTATCGTCCCAATTGAAGTTCCCGCAGTGTAATATTATTCCGCAGGGATACTATTGCGAATAAAACATGTGACTTTCCTAAAAAAAACTTTAAATCTCCATTTTTAATAATTAAACTTTTAGTCGACCATAACCGGCCCGTGTTTTAATAGAGAAAATTTATTGCGAAAAATATTATCTCATCCAGGGTTTGAACTGGGACTTTCCTACTCTCTAGGCGGGCGTCTCACCAATTCGACCACTGAGGAATGTATCTTAATTTTTAACTAATAAGAATATTCTTAAATGTCGCCAGCAGTAATTAACAACGTCAATGTTTTATTGACCGTATCTGGCAATTTTAATAATACAGAAATTTTATTGCGAAAAATATTACCTCACCCAGAGTTTGAACCTGGCTGGGAAGTCCAAGTTCAAACCTTGGCTGAGGCTATATTTTTCGGAATAAAATTTCTGTATTATTAAAATTACCAGATACGTTTAATAAAACTTTGATGTTCTTAATTTTTAATTCTAATTTGTCAAAAATCACACACATGTACGTGGAGCATGATTGCAACTTTTATCAGGAAAACTCTTAGATTTGGCAAAACGAGGCCGGATTTATTTAAACATGATAAATCTCTTTAGATTGCCAGTAATAAATAACAATGGATCCGTTTAGTCGACCTTATCTGGCTCTTATTTAATAAATTCAATAAAAATACAGATACAACGTGCAACGACACCTTGTTTGGGTCATTTACAAGCACAAATTCTGAAAGGGAACAGCAATACATGGTTAACATAGATAAATAGAAAAATAATTGGAATTTATTTATTCATACGAAGGTGTTTGCACTATTTGTATTATTTATGTAATAATACAATTGATCGAATTCACTTGGAATCGATTTATCCTGTGCCAAGGGGAGTTCCGCAACTGTATATAAACGCGTTGTTAGTCACTGCCTCGTTGAAAACCCTCGTTACTTGGTTCATCCCGTTCGGTGGATTGATAGCTCGTTTAAATGAATTGATATCTCGCAGTATGGCTACTACCGGCCAACAATAACTCGCGGAAGGCAGCGCGGCACGTGTGTACGGTACTCGATAGCTCGGCACCCGCGAGGGTATCGGTGCCATCGCTAGCCGGAATTATTATAACCGCACGATGCGGCGCGATGGTGGTGCATTCGCGATTGTCGGGCGGCTGAATGGCCGTCAGGTGGAAAGACCACCTCCCGTTGCAAGAAGGACGCGATTCGTCCTCCTTGATTATTACGGCACGAATCAATCGGCCGCGTCTCGCAGGAAGCTCCTCTCCCTCTCGCGCGTTCGCATTTACGTAACAGGTGGCATCGAAAAGCTTAAAGAAGGCAAGACCTTCGTACAAAGCGCCATATGCTCCTTTCACACGGGCTCCCGTCATTTGTGCGTGCGAGCGCGAGAACAATCTTCCTCCGCAGCGTCCGCCTCTCATTTTCGTGCCGGGAAATCGCGAGATACTTTTATTATTACGCGCGGCGAATTTTAGACACGAACAAATAACGCGCCGCGTTAATTTCACCGGGATCTGTCTCTGAAAATGCCGTTGTGTTTACCCGCCCTGCGCTCATCTGCTAAATTGCACGTGTAATATTACATTTAAACCATTATTTGCATTAATGCGGAAACACGCATCAGGATATTGTTTTATTTACCTTAATCGCGAAATTAGCATTACGTTGCAATTAAAATGTATATTGTGATTCGCAGTGATAAAGTGGATAAAGTCTGTATATTTAACCGCGATTACATTGGCGGAAATATAGGAGCGCCGGGCCGGGCACTCGTCAGGCGCATCGCGAGCCGATACGATTATCAATTCGCGGCTCGGGTTTATTATTTTCCGGGAAAGCGACCGAATTTTTATTCGTCTTTACGGCTGTCCTAGATCTCACCTGCCGCAATTAAAGCCTCTAATGAGACCGCGGTTGAAGCCTTTCCCCGGATTCGCATGCGTCGTTGACCAGCGCGGTGGATTCCATAATTTATTAGCGTACCGGGGGAGCCGGTCGTCTCGCCGCGGAGCGATTTTACCGCGCCCGGCCAACGGCAATCGCATTCCGCGACTTTTTCCGCGCGCGTCACGGGCAGAAACGCGCGACGAAAATGCGCCTCTTTCGCGTCCGCCGCGTCATTTCTGTCCGCAACCACCGAGGCTATCTCCTCGTGATCGATCGCTGCCGATCGCTCGTCAGCGGTTAACCGAAACTTATACAAAACGTCGATGAGCTCTCGGTTTTGCCGACCGCTTTTCCCGTCGTATCGCGCATGCAGCGGGATACCCTCTCGCGTATCAATTCTCCGAATTTGGCGTCGGGCCTTTCCGTTTGAAAATTTAATCGGATAATGTCGCCGAAACGCGCGCGAAACTCTGCTTAAAATATCATTCCCGAAAATCCCTTTAATTCTTTATAACCCGGGGATTATTGATCTCTCGGCCAGTTTTTGTCGCAAATTGGCCCCAAACCGGTGAAAAAATCCGCATGTGAAGGGAGACCTAGATCGCGCTATGCATTCCTGTTCGGAAACTCTGGCGAATTGATTCCGCACGGATACACGCGACTTCGGACGAATTTCACGATTCATGCTCGTCTCAATAAGCGATCACGGGGAACATTTCTCCCTATATAGCCGTATTGCGAAGTCATCCCTCGAAAGAGGGCGAAATGGACTCGATATTAAATTAGGTGGACACGTTTATTATTTGGCTTTGTTACTTTTACTATGATAGAGATGTAATTTATCAACGTATCTCTCTATCGTCACGGTGAAATTAATTTAAACCATATTATATACGTATAAGTACAATCTATGTATAATATAATATTAAACATTTGACAGCGAATTGAATGAATTCGAATTTTTCATAAATCGAAATAGATTAATCTTTAAAGAATTTTCACATCGTTACACTTTTGAAAAATTTGTGTTAAATTTAACAGAATCACGTCCCAAACGTTTTTGTGTTAATTTAACAAAATATGGATATGTTCAATGATCACACTAATACTCTGTTAATATTTTAAATACAAAATAAATGTGAATCTTAAAATAATTTATAATAAAATAAATGTTCTGTAAAATCAACATTTTATTCTGTAAATTTGAACAGATAAATTTTGTTACTAATAATATAGGACATACGTATTGTGTAAGATTAAAAAATAAGTACACATTGTGTTGTTTTAACATTTCTATTCAGTTATTTTAATAATTTTACACTTAAGGTCAATTAACACAAGAGCAATGTGTTAAACATATAACAGGAAAATTTTAACCGGCATTTTTTTTAACAAGAAAACAAATTTTCCAACTGTGTAGAAAACTTTATTACACGGGTTACTTTGCAAATATTATTCGTCTCTTCGCGCACATAACTCGCGAATATGTGGCAATTTTTATTTCATTAATATTTTACAAATTCCTGAGTATATATCGATTTCGTGTTGTTTTATCTGAAATATCTGTCAGAGTTTTCGCAAATTGACTTCTCTTTCGTCTTGCGAGAAAGCAGTATTAGTGAATTGAACAATTTATCGTCGTTTGCACGTCGCCGGCGCTCGGTCTCAGTTTGTCAGAAAATCTCGCGACAATTTCTCGACATGTGTCGATTTATATAAATTTCGCGTTTTCAACGTATCTAAACCGAAAGACACAAATTTTATATACAAGACAATCAATCTTCGACATCATGAAACGAAGAAGAATAAGAATAGTTTCT